TAATATTTATTTAATAACAATTGACATTATTATGAAAATTAAATATATTTATTATTCATTTATTAGTACTGGGAGCTCGAAATATAGAACAAGCTGAAATAAATAAAAAACAATAAAAGTCATTTGATTTCAAAAGTATAAAAATATTAAATAAATATACAGTGCTTTTCAAATAAAACTATCCACCTTAAATAACTTTTGAACCTCTAATTTTTTGGAAAAAACGCAAAAACACGTCAATTAATATCTGAAGGGGGAGACATAATATCATATTAAAGGTTGCTGGACAATGCACCCTCTCACCCCCTGTATCAACCCTTTATTTTTTTTAAATTACTTCCCCCTTTTTTTGTTTTATATTTGGATTCTCCTTTCTGTTCTGATTTCAAAAATGTATAATACCTTTGGCTTGAAGTGATTAGTTTATCAGATAGACAATTTTCCTGTTAACAAGACAATATCTCCCTCACCTTAATTGACTCTAACAAAATAGGTTGTAGCATAATTTAAACTCTTTAAATATTTAACCGTACTATTTGTAGTACCTTTAAAAACCAACAAACAAAAATATTCACTTTTTATTCAAGTTTTATCAAAGGTTTTCGATATCATTTTTACATTTGTTTTAATCGGTTAATAGCGACAACTTGTTATAACTTGTAAGTAACAGCTTATTTTGATACGTGTGGAATTTGATCGCTGAAATAGTGTACACTTTGCAAGAAAGAATCGAAATTGTAGGTTTATACTACAAAAATAATAATTTTGCAAGAGCTGCTGCTAGAATTTTTAATGAAACACACCACAATAGACATGCAACTCATAAGTGTGTGATTGAACTGATGCAGAAAAAATTAGATCAAGAGGGTCAGTTTGCAATAAAAAACATAACCGACAGGAACTTGTAAATAAAAAAGCAATCCAAGTAGCTGTTTTAGGGCAAGTTAACTTAGACTCTTAACAATCACAGTCACTGTCAACAATAAGCAGAGCAATCGGTGTTTCATCTTCTACAGCCTTCTGAGTCCTCCATAAATTTAAGTTTTATCCATATAAAATTAAATTAGTACAAGAGTTAAATGAAGAAGATTTTGATCGTCGTCGCGAATGTTGCGAATTAATGATAAAATGCATCATTAACAATTCACAATTGTTAAACAATATTTGCTTCTCGGATGAATGCACATTCTCATTAAACGGTTTGGTGAACAGATATAATTGCTGATACTGGGCTGAGAGTGATCCATATATTGTACGCGAATTTCACACACAGCATCCTCAAAGGTTAAACGTATGGTGTGGTATTCTACGTAATCACATTATCGGACCCTTCTTTATCACTGGAAACTTAAATGTAGCATCGTATCTTGAATTATATAGGCACGTGGTTGATCGTTAGAACAATAGTAGCAAATGATGATAACCTTTCCGATGATTTGGTTGTATTTCAACATGATGGAGCTTCTCCACACTTTGCTTTACCTGTGCGATAATTTTTAAACGAAACGTTTCCCGGTCCTTGGATAGGTAAAAGACGACAGATGATCGATTGGCCACCTAGGTCACCGGATTGAACACCCCTAGACTTCTTCTTATGGGAGTATTTAAACGAAATGTTCGAAAACCTTTGATAAAACTTTAATAAAAAGTGAATATTTTTGTTTCTTGGTTTTTAAACGTACTACAAATAGTACGGTTAAATATTTAAAGAGTTTAAATTATGCTACAACCTATTTTGTTAGAGTCAATTAAGGTGAGGGAGATACTGTCTTGTTAACAGGAAAATTGTCTATCTGATAAACTAATCACTTCAAGCCAAAGGTATGATACATTTTTGAAATCGGAACAAAAAGAAGAATCCAAATATAAAACAAAAAAAGGGGGAAGTAATTTAAAAAAAAATAAAGGGTTGATACAGGGGGTGAGAGGGTGCATTTTCCAACAACCTTAAATATGATATTATGCCTGTTATTTAAGGTGGATAGTTTTATCTGAAAAGCACTGTATATAAAACTTTATAGTCTAATCGCCACATATTCGATCTCTAAAAACAAGACAAACAAGCTGAATTTTACAGAGAATTTTAATTTTGGGACCACCCAAAAAAGTCTTCCGACCCACGGGCTTTCCTCTAAAACCCCGCTCTTAGGGGGAGGGGGAACATCGATTTACCTTCTTCTTTAAGTGCCGTTTCCCAATCGGAGGTTAGATATTATCACTATCTTTACTTTATCTACTACTGCTCTAATGAGTTCTATCAAACTGCATTTATACCAGTCTCTTAAATTCTTCAACCATGACACTCTCTTTCTTCCTCCTCTTACCTTTCTGTCCCCTAATTATGTGTCCTAGATATTGTATCTTTCTTATTTTTATTGTGTTTATTATTTCGCATTCTTCGCCCATTTCTCGCAATACTTCCGTGTTAGTTTTCTTCTTTGTCCATGCAATTCTAAGCAGCCTCCTGTAACACGACATTTCAATGTCCAGCTTTCAAGTCCATATTGCAGAATCGAAAACACGTAACATCTCAGTGTTTTTTTCTCTCAGTTCTAATCTAAGATCTTTGTTGAAAATAATTGTTTTCATTTTTACAAACGCAATTCTTGCTATTTCTATCCTAGCTCTTATTTCGGTTGTTTGATTATTATTGTCTGAAATCCAGGTTCTTAGGTATTTGTATTTATCAACCCTTTCTATCGATACATTTCCCAAATGTATGTTTGTTGGTATATTTGTTTTTTTTTTTGTTATTATCATGTATTTGGTCTTTTTCATATTCATTTTTAGTCCATATTCTTCACAGAAACTGTTTCTTTTGTTTAGAAGTAATTGGAGTTGTTCAGCAGAGCTTGCCATAATCACGGTGTCACCTGCATACCTTATGTTGTTAATAGATCTTCCGTTAATTATTATTCCTTCACTTTGAGATAGTAATGCTTCTTCAAAAATGGCTTCACTATATACATTAAATAGTAATGGAGACATAATACATCCCTGCCTAACTCCTCTCCTGATTTCAATTTCTGGACTGGGTTCGTTATCTATTACGATTTGTGCTCTTTGATTCCAGTAGAGGTTTGTTATTATTTGTAAGTCCCTATTGTTTGTTTTTTGTCTTTAGAATTTTGACTAAATTTCCATGCCTTACTTTGTCAAATGCTTTTTCAAAATCAACGTAACAAACATGCACATCAACATTCATATACATGCATCTTTGAGCTAACACATTAAAAGCAAATAACGCTTCTCTGGTTCCTAGTCCGTTTCTGAACCCAAACTGACTATCATCTATTCCTCCTTCCAGTTTTTTATTTATACGACCATGTATTATTTTCAGGAATAATTTGAGAATGTGATTTATTAGTGATATTGTTTTGTATTCACTGCAATATTTAGCGTTTGTATCTTTAGGGATAGCACAAAATGTGGAGAGTAACATTGTTTCGGTATATGTCCTGTTTTGTATACTGAGTTAAATAAGTCTACTATAATGTCCAAGGTTTCATCATTCATGCATTTTAAGATTTCTGTGAGGATTTCGTCTGGACCTAATGCTTTACCAGTTTTGCTGTTTTTTAATACCATTTTAATTTCCTCTTTTAATATCTTTAAAACCATATCCTGTTCTACTTCTATGTCCATCTGTTCTGTTCTATTGTCTTTGAATAGTTCATTGATGTATTCTGACCATCTCTTTAATTTGTCGTTAGTTGAACACAAGTTTCCCTTTTGCATCTTTCAGTATTTCCGCTTTTCTTGTTTTATTGTTGTGAGTTAATTCTTTAATTTTTTTATGTGTGTTAAAACTATCATGTTTTCTGGTATTCTTCTATTTCTGAGCATTGTTCTTTTAGCCATTGTTCTTTCGCTTTCTTAATTCTGTATTATATTTGTTTATCCACTTTTTTGTACATCTGATTATATTTGTTCTTATATTGACGTCTTTCTTCCATTAAATCTAAAATTTCTTCCGTCATCCATTGCTTCTTTTTATATCTGGTTTGTATTAGAATTTCTTTTTGGCTTTTATCTATTTCTGTCTTTATTAATAACCTTTTTTTTTCTCCGTCTCAGTACTTTGCTGAATTTGTTCTTTAACATTCATTAATCCGTTGTTGATTTACTTGCATCGATTTTTGAATTTGTTGTTCTTCTCTTTATTATTTTCATTTTAAGCCTAATTTTGGTCACTACTGGGTTGTGATCTGATCCTATGTCGGCAGTTGGATAGGTTTTTGCGGATATAATTGCGTTACTGTATTGTTCCAGAAATGAACATATTGTTTTTAAAATATAAAATAAAAATGTAACTCTTTTACTTTTCTTAGTGTATAATAACTAGAACACACACTTTATCAAGTTTGAACGCGACACCCTGGCGTTTGACGTCTGACCCTGTTAAATATTTTTCACACCTAAATAAAATAGGGGTAATCTTCCCATTTTACGCATTATGTAGTGTTTTATCAGTTCAGTAAGAGCAGTTCAAGTTGACACATGGCCATGGAGCCATCACAGCGAGTAGTTAAGAACTCGCAATTCATGTGTTAAATATAATATTCTCTCTCCGCCGAAATCGGGCAAATTCTCATAACGGTTTTTCTTTTACGTGTTATAAAGAAAGAGTACATTTGATATTGTATAGTAAGTTACGGCCGTGTTGGGCCTCTCTACTCTTAAAAGATTTAATTATAAATCGATAAACTCAAAAGTGATTTTATTTCTCTAGAGCTATATTTGCTCACATTAAAAATCCTTATCCTTCAACGGTCACTGAAGATCCAAACCTATGGAGATGCATCCATTCACAAGTCCTTTGAAGTAAGGCTTGGAATCAAAAGATTTCCAACTCTCATGATGTAGGTAGCCAGTTACAAGGCTCCATCATGTATCTTTGTCTAACATAAACTTTAAATAATTATCTATGTACTTTTTATTATGTGTTTATAGCAAATTTAGTTATTTGTTTAGTAGTAAATGCCCGTTTTTGATTTTAGAGTACCGAAGTTGCTGAACATGACAAACTGTGGTCTTACATATCAGGCTTTACTGGTAGTTACACCAACATCATCGTTACTGCAAACAAAGCTGCTTTATGGACTGACGGTCGCTTTCATCTTCAAGCTGACGAACAAATCGATTGCAACTGGTTGCTGTTTAGAGAAGGTCATCGAGATATTCCAACAATGGCGGAATGGATTATAAAACAATTCCCACATGGTTCAAGGTTAGGTTTAAATCCAAAATTGGTTTCTCATCACATGTGGAATCAACTCGAACACGAACTGAAAGGATCACGTATTCAGTTAGTGGCTTTAAACGTTAGCTTGGTAGATATAATCTGGCCAGAAAATGAACGACCAGAGAAAATAAACAAAGATGCATTCTTTTTAGATGAAGAGTATACAGGTAATAGTTTCTTGTTATCAATATTTATTTAATTACTATTTAACTGGGAATAAGCCACAATTAAAGATAAAAATACGTTTAGTCAAAATACAAACAGTAAATTTACTGTTTGTATTTTGAGAACGATTTCCGAAGTGGAAATTGAAACGTCAATAAACGTATTTTTATCTTTAATTGTGGCTTAGTCCCAGTTAAATAGTAATTAATTTACAATGCCACAAGAAAATAGCTTCAGAACAATATTTATTTATTTGTGATTTAGCAAGCATATTTATCTGTTCAGACACATCAACCGTTTAATCCAGGGGTCTCCAAACTTTCCAGCCTTAGGGCCATACTGATTACTCCAGTAAGTTCCGAGGGCCAAGATGGAAACACTGTATTTTATATATATTTTTTTATATTTTATTATTATTTATATATTTTATATATTTCTGTATTTTATGTGTAATAGAATTTTGCTGAAGTGTGGATCATTTTTTGTAAAATAACGAATAATTTAATTTTTTGTAAGTGTGGTAAGCTGTCAACATTATTAAGTATGTCAAATATTCACCTATTTTTGATATATTTTAATTTAATACAAGGTAGACATGAACAAACAAAATATTTCCACCAGTGGAAATCTCCAATCTCTCCCGAGATTGTCCACTAATAACATAATTATTCTTTCTACTATTTTTCAACGTCATCGTTAGAAATTGTCACAAACACACTTAACTATCCGAAATAATAAGAAGTCTGAAAAATAATAGCCGCAAATCACTTAAGTGTTACGCACCTGATAACTGGGAGGAAACTAAAGACCCCACCTAAGCGATGACAATAGTGGCGTAACTACAAGTCAGTTCCTATGAAACTGTTGTGAAATAAAATAGGGCGTACCTCCTTAAAACAAGTTTGTGCGTGTAACAGTATTTTGATTTGATTTGAATTGTTGCTTTTGTGTGTGATTTAGTAGAATGGAAAAGAAGCGAAAAATTGATAGTGAATGCAGAAAATTCAAAGATCAGTGGAACATTCAGTATTTCGTAATTGAGTCCAGTAACAAGGCGCTATGTTTGATTTGCAATGAAAGCATAGCCGTTCTTAAAGAATATAACATGAAACGTCATTATGAAACAAAACATTCTCAAAATTACTCAAAATTACTCAAAATATACTAGAATTGTGCGGACAGAAAAATTCCAAGCTTTGAAGTGCGGATTGAAATCGCAGCAATCTTTATTTACAAAAGTCAAAACTGAACAAGAGGCGGCAACTCGTGCCAGCTTTCGTGTGGCTCTTGAAATTGCAAAACGTGGAAAACCATTCACCGATGGAGAAATGATCAAGGAATGCATAATTGCAGTAGTCGAAGAAATGTGCCCTGAAAAGGTAAATTTATTAAAAACTGTCAGTATGTCAGCAAACACTGTGGCTCGAAGGGTAGAAAACATCACTGAAAATTTATATCCTCTCAACTGTTCGACAAAAATGGACATGTTGAGTGGTTTTCTTTGGCCTTGGATGAGTCAACGGATGTGTCAGATACTGCTCAGGTGTTGATTTATATTAGAGGAGTAGATAAAAGCTATGAAGTGCACGAAGAACTTCTTGATATGTATAGCATTCATGGCACAACTACTGGTACCGATATTTTTTAAGGAGCTGAAATGTCCATTAATAAAAAGAACCTTCGATGGAAAAACTTGAAATGTATTACAACTGATGGAGGCAAAAACATGAGTGGGAAAGATAAAGGAGTGATCGCTCTTGTGTCAAAGGCTGTAGAAAATGACGGCGGCTTAAAACCATTAGTCTTACATTGTATCATTCATCAACAGTATTTGTGCAGAAAATGTTTGGATATGTCTGACGTTCTGAAACCAGTCATATCAACTGTTAATTTCATCAGATCTTTTGGGTTGAATCACCGACAATTCCGACAATTTATTGCAGAGATTGGTGAAATAGACTTACCTTATCATACTGCCGTACGCTGGCTTAGTTGTGGGAAAGTCCTTCAGCGCTTTTTTGAACTTCGAGCAGTGATCGAAATTTTTTTGAATGAAAAGCACCGCCCTCTTACTGAATTACAAAACAACGCATGGCTATGGAAGTTAGCATTCTATGTTGATTCGACAAAACATGTGAACGAACTGAATTTGAGATTGCAAGGAGAAAACCAGCATCTTCCTGATTTATACACTAATATCAAGTCATTCCGGATGAAATTGATACTGTTTCAATCACAACTACGAAGTAAATGTTTTTCACATTTTAAAACATGTAAAATATTCAGCCACACTACTGAGACTGAGTTTCCTATCGATTTTGCAATCGAAACTTTGAGTGCTTTGAAGATAAATTTTGATACTCGTTTCTCGGACTTTGATGCCATTGCGAATCAAATTAAGATTTTTCAGAATCCTTTTGATGCTGACATTGAAACCCTAGCCCCGGAACTTCAAATGGAAATGATTGATCTTCAGTGCAGTGATATAATTAAGAACAAATATGAAAACTCATCTTTGTTGGAATTTTATAAGAGTCTTCCACTGACACAATTTGATAATTTGCATAAATTTGCTCGTGGGCTGTTTCCGTTTTTGGTACTACTTATTTGTGTGAGAAAACCTTCTCCAAAATGAAGTACACAAAAAGGTATACAGATCTAAATTAACTGACGAGCATCTTAAATCTCTTTTAATAATTGATACAAATAAAATTAGTCCACAACTACAAACTATTGTCGGTGGAAAATCTCAATTACATACATCTCATTAGCATTTCATATGTCATGTTTGTTATAAGGTATGTGTTGTTCATTACTTACAATGTATAAAATGTTAGTTGGATATATTTCAATAATTTGTTAGTTATTATATGCTGAAGTTAAATTTACTGCATAAATTATACATGTCTTTACTCATTACCATTCTGTGTTTCTTTACAAAAATATTCAAAAATATTTGTCCTCTAAAAGGAGTTTTCAAGTATGTCTCCGCGGGCCGGACAAAATCTGTCTGCAGGCCGGATGTGGCCCTCGGGCCGTAGTTTGGAGACCCCTGGTTTAATCCATTGTAAGCCTTTGAAGAGGATTTTGACTACAGATTAAAATAACAAATACGAATTCTCATACTCAGACACAACTAGTAAATCTGAAAGAAAGTGAATTAATTGACAGAGATCAAAAGCACCCAAACATAGACATAAAGGTTGTCAAATATAGACATTTACAAATGAAAACCCCAAAAGACTCACAGTTTAATGAATTTTAAAATTTTTAGTTGTTATAACTTCCTTTTTTTTTTAATCAAAAACTTTCTCATCAAAAATTGAACTTCTGACTCGAAAAGTATCGTAGTATGTACTGGAAATTTGAATAAGCATTTTAAAATATGTTTGGAAGTATATCTTTTATTACATGAAATGACAACAAAGAAAATTGTTTAACACGTTAGACGCCACAATGCATAGTAAAAAAAGTTAAGTGAGCCACAATATTAAACACGTTTACAATATTAGTTTATGCATTTTAAATAGTTTTTCCTCAGTTTAAGTACAAAATCTTACATTTTTATTATTTTTAGAATTATTTTAGTTGAGACGCACGTGTGCATCTCGTGGCCAAAAATAACTTTTGGATACATGGAGCCATGTAATGCAGGCTTGCTTCTCGTATAAGACAAGAATGACTCTTATTAGACGAGATGATGAAATAAGTAGTTTTTCGTCAAATAAAGGTAATCCTGAAAGCAAAATACTAAAAATAGACCAAAGTAATTTACAAAATTTTCCTTTAACATCACAAAACTCAAGAACAAAAGACGATACTATTGAAAATATTACATAAACTGCCAGATGATGAAAGCTCTTCAGAAGATGATGACATTTCGATTGATCATAACATACCCTTAATATGGAAGAATGTAGATGGTCGTGAATGACGATATTATTGAGTAAATTATGCAAGAAACAAACCGATATGCATATCAGGGTGATCATGGTCCAAAAACTAGAATTCATAAGTGGGTAGCTACAAATACCGAAGAAATAAAGTCTTTTTGGTCATTATTGTCTGGATGAGATTACAAAGATTACCAGTATTGTGTTCGTATTTGTCAAAAAATCCATTATACGAAAACAAAGTAAAGTATCTTATGTTGTGTAATCATTTTGAATTATTACTTGCCAATTTATACTTTAGTGACTTCGACTGTTCATCAGTTCTTCGGTGGAAGAACTGATGAACCTGTAGTTTTGTTTAGGGGACTGTTTATGTCACGTATTTACTCAAAACTGAGTAAATATATGACCAATTTCGTACCAGTCTCGGATAGAATAATATTACTCCATTTTATAGAAATATATAATATATTTTATAGAAACGGAATTTTATAGAACTATTTCCAATCTAAATGAGTCATACTGTATATATTGTTTACTTAACCGGTATTTGTTTATGTAGAACATGTAAGTCAAACTCTTTTTATAGTTCAATATTATAATTTAAAATATTTTTAGGAAAGGACTATCCCACAAAGGTAGATGAAACTCGAACAGAACTTTTAAAACATAAAGCAGATGCTATGGTAGTAACAGCTTTAGACGAAATAGCATGGCTACTCAATATCAGAGGTAGAGATGTGCCGAATTCTCCTTATATAAGAAGTTATGTGATATTGGACATGGAGCGTGTGATTTTGTATATTAATATGAGTCAGGTTCCCAAAGCAGTACAAGATCATCTTCATTATGATCCCAAATTAATAGAAAGGGATGCAGTAATGTAAGTTGGCCTTTGTGTTTATTAATTTTAATTAATACTACTTGAATAGTAATCTACTTAATCTGTAAAATAGTATTTCTTTCAAAATTCAATCATTTGCACCTTATTAAATCTAAATTAATTTGCTTTCATTTAAACCTGGCATACATAAATGATAAACAATGGATATTCAAAATAAATCAAAGTATTAGTTACGAATTTTTTCAAAATGCAATTATCGAACCAAGTCGCAGAGAACTCACAACAACCAGATGCAAGAAAGGATTTTGGATGACAGAAGAAATCTTGGAAATGATGGAGGACAGAAGAAGGCAAAAGAATATAAACATCTCAGTATCAACAGCTGCATAATCAAATAAAAAGAAAAATAAGAGAAGCTAAAGAGACTTATTTCCCTGGAAAATGCCAAGAAATAGAAGACTTACAAAACAAATATGATAACTTCAATCTCCATAAGAAAGTTAAAGAATTAGCTGGGGTAGCAAAAAAACCTCAAGCATTCTATTGTATAAACAAGGAAACATTTTATTGGAGACGGAACAAAAATTAGGAAGATGGAAAGAATATACAGAGGAATTATTCCATGACCAGAGACAGGAAAATATATATGAAGATAATCAGAGTAAAGACGTGGGACCCGAAATAACAAAGTCAGAAGTTATGTATGCAGTTAAGTCCATGAAAACTAATAAAGCTGCTGGTCCAGATGAATTACTAAGTAAATTGCTAAAACTGGTCGATGAAAAAAACATAGATCTTTTAGTCCAACTACTGAACATAATCTATTCCACAGGAATCATTCCACGGAAATACTAATCAACATTTATTTGTCTACCAAAGAAAGTAAATGTCAAAGAATGTAGTGATTATCGAACAATCAGTCTAATCTCACATACCTTAAACTCTGCTAAAAATTGTCCATAATAGAATACACGCTAAGCTGGACATATATATTAGTGATTCCCAGTTCGGATTCTTTATGTATGCTTTATAGACTACAACAAGGCATTCGATAAAGTAAAACATGGACGACTTATAGAAGTACTCAAAAACAAGAATCTGGATGTGAGGGATGTAACATTGATATTAAATTTATACTACAGCCAACGGTCAAATGTGAAAATTGGAAGAGAAGTGTCAGAAGAAGTGGAGATAAGGAGAGGGGTCAGGAAAGTTTGCATACTTTCGCCGTTATTGTTTAATGCTTATTCTGAAGAAATCATACAAGAAGCTTTGGTAACGAGACAGTCGGCATAAAAGTGAACGGAAGTTTAATTAACAACATTAGGTATACCAACGATACAGTCATAATAGCCGACAACTTGGAAAACTTAGATAGAATAATGAACAAAATATTAAGATATAGTGGAGAAGATGGACTCTCTCTTAACACCAAAAAAAACCAAATTCATGAAAATCAGCAAAAACAACAATACAGATGAAATCTTAACGGTAGGCGGCCAGCAGATTGAGAGAGTAAAAAGATATACTTACTTGTGAACGATAATCACAGAAAATAACGATTATACTGCAGAGATAGGAGTCAGAATTGAAAAAGCACGTGCCAACTTCGTGAAAATGAAAAAATTTAATGCAGCAACGATCTGAAATTGACTCTCAGAATAAGGCTAATTAAATGCTATGTACACGATGTACTCTACTATGGAGCTGAATCATGGACATTAAACCGGAATACAATAAATCGACTTAACACGTTTAAAATGTGGACATTTAGAAGATTGTTAAGGATTCCATGGGTATCCTATTCCTGTTAAGGAGAATAGACAGAGAGAGGGAAATGGAAAATACCATAAAAGAAAGGAAATTGCAATATCTCGGACACGTAATGAGAGGTGAAAGATTCAACATCTTGAGACTCATAATTCAAAGAAAAATAGAGGGTAGGAAAAGCGTAGGAAGAAGACGCGTTTCCTGGTTGAAGAACCAACCTGAGAGAGTGGTTTGGTTGCAGCTTAACACTAGAAGCACCAGCATTTGTGCATACCTAGAAGCACCACCAGCGGTCAAAATGACGGATATTAGAATTTTCTATTGCCAACCGTTTTTGTATTCTTTTTTATTTGATAAAAACCTATATTGAGTTAATAACTAATAATAAAAGACATATTTAATATATTTAAATAAATTATTTAATTATTTAAGTACAATTTATGCAGTAGCAAAATTTTTTACATATATGACAAATTTCAAATGTTTTATTTTTGTTGCAATTCCCTGTTTGACACTGCTTACGTTTATTATTTGGTGATTTTTTTGTACCTCTTGGATTTGTATCCGTTGATGTTGTCCTGCCCTTAGTCATGTGATCTTCTCGCAATTCTTTTGCTAACTGAAATAGGAAATCCTGCCTAGATATTTGACTGCCCGTAACTTTCTTATACAGAACCCAAGCATTTATTCCTGCCATATCTAAAATATTAAAAAAAAACTTGCAACGGTCATCTTCTTGAAGCAGATTTGGTTGAATACAGTCTAGCCATCTGATCTACAACGTCTACTCCGTATTTTGTCTTGTTGTAGAAGATAATGGTTTCTGGTTTTTTCGTTTTACCTGTGCCCATTTTAATATCATTCGAGTGTAAAGAACTCAGCACTACAACATTTTTGTTGACTTTTCCCTGGTACGCCGTTAACATCAAGTCTTCATGTTTGAAAATTTTTGTTTTGTACAATTCCATCTTTTCATTTTTTACTAACAGTGGAATATCCTTTCTTGTTCAGTTGATTGTTCCAACAATGCTGGTAGCCTTCTTTCGTAATTCTTTTGCCAACTTTATGGACGTAAAGAAATTATCCGTCGTGACATTTCTTCCTTTATTTATAAATGGTTCCATTAGATGACTAACATGTTCCCCAGAAGTTGATTGGCTGGTCGTTGTTTATCTTTCCCTAGGTAAGGAAATCCGTTCAACAAATATTTGGACTCAACATCACCTGCAAGCCAGAATTTAATTCCATACTTGTCGGATTTATTTACTGGGTAAAGCGGCATCTTGCCTTCGTGAAAAAAAGCTGTTCGTCGATAGTTATATTTTCGCCAGGTGTATAACAAAATATACCATTCTCTATAAATGGGTTCCATATTCCCGACGCAAGTGCAAATTTATCTGTTGATAATCGCTCAGACCTGCTATTTCTTATATCAAAACGGATAAAACTCATTATTTGTGTAAATTTGTTTCTAGACATCGTCTCTTGAAAAAATTTTGGACCCCATGTACCAGACCACGGCATCTTTATGCTAACATTTCGTGCCATATAACCTCCCCTAGCATACAGTAAGGATATAAATGCTTCGATTTCTTCAATAGAAATTTGCCAATTTTCATCTTTGAGTTTTCTTCTACCTTCAGCAACAGTACATGATTTTATGTTACGGAGTATGCATTCATTAATCAACAGCCGCCATTCAATAGCTGCAGAATCTCTAATAATGCCTCTCTTAGCATGAGGGGTTGGTCTAGCAGCTTCCTTTAGAACATTTTGACTGGTACGCCTTCCTAAAATGAACGAGATAAATAAGTATGCAGGTATATACTCATTTATTTATTTATTTAAATAAATAAATAAAGAATGGAACAACAACCAAGAAATAAGAGCGCACATCGGAAAAGCTAGATCCACCTTCAACCAGATAGGGGTCTTCTTCAAGAGCCATAACCCCTCTCTTGGTATAAAAGTAAGGATGCTGCGATGCTACGTCTTCTCTGTTCTTTTTTCTGGTGTTGAATAGTTGACCTTGACGAAGATATATGCAGAAAATTGGAAGCATTCGAGCTGTGGCTAAATTGGAGAACACTTCAAATCCCGTGGACCATTATCAAATCTCGAAAGTTACAATATTTCGAAAACATTGTGCGAAATGAATCTAGAGGCGCCCTTCTACAAGCCATCCTGAAAGGAAAAATATTTGGAAAACGGGGTCCAGGAAGAAGAAAATCCTGCAGATAAGATAAATATTGCCATGATTATCGCCAATATTCGTGACATCAAGAAGAATATACTCAAAAATATTATACACCTAAGTGAATACATAAATAGAAGCTACTAATATAATATAGTTGCTTACCTGGTGTACTAGCATTGTTGTCAAGTAACTCCCATTCTATGGCATCTATGGAAGAATTTCCTAAATTGCTTCTGCGAATTCCTCCTACCTGGTTGGTAATCATTTCCGAAGATGTATTGAAGTCTGCATTCGAAGTTGAAGCAGAAGTACTGGGCATCACCTCAATCTCAACTTCACCTTCAGAATCACTGCCCGATGAATGTCCTTGATCAAATGTATTAGGCACATACTCGTCAATTTCATTATCGGATACATTCATCAGATAACTCTGTTATAGATTCATCTTCTGACAAATTCTGTAGACACTCTAATAGCTCCTGCTGAGTCAAATATCGGCGAGACATGATAACAGCAGAAATAATAAAAATCACAATGTAAAATTATTCAAAATACAGATTGAACATGCAATTGCAAAGAGTATACTCAAACTACATAATAACAAATATTTTCGATGTATTTTATACATAAAATAAGTAAAAACTTCCCAGAAAAGTAGAACAAAAATTAGACTAGCTCGTCATTAGGACCGCATTTTTCTAGGTAGACATCAACATAAATATATTCAAAATGTAATTATACTACGTACCTGTAAAAGAGAAATTATAATCCTCAAGTAAATAATAAAGTCCCAAATCATAAATTTTGTAAAATAAATATGAATGAGTAATACTCTAGACCAATAAGGGGCGAAAATAGAAAGCAGTCAAAATGACTGCTATATGGTAGTTCTAGGTATACGTTACCATATCTTAAAAAGTAATTACGCTAAGTACCTGTAAAAGAGAAATTATAATCTTCAAATAGATCTAGGAAAAGTCATAAATTATCTAGTTTCTAAAACATTTATGAATAGGTAATACACAGTGTCAAAAATGAAAAGCAGTCAAAATGACCGCTCTGGTGCTTCTAGTGTTAACACAATTGTTCAGAGCAGCTGCCTCGAAGGTCAGAATAGCGATGATGATTGCCAACCTTCGTCGCGGAGATGGCACTCAAAGAAGAAGAAGTGGGGACTAACTACAAAAAAAAATAAAAAAAATAATTACAGATATGTCCTGGGCAATGTTACACAAGAATATCCCTAAACTATTTAAAATAGGGCGCTGTTTAAAAGAATCCTCTTGGTACTTGAAAAGAAAGAAAGGTTTTTGTCTCTTTAACAATTTGAAGGGTGAATATCTTTTTAAAAGAAATAATTTAACTCCTGGTTTAAAAAGAAACAATACATATTTATTTTTATTTCACGTAAACAGTTATTACAAATAAAAATATCCAAATTTATCAACAAACCTTACATTGAGTTTAACCTTCTAACAAAACAGAATTTAAACTATGTTTATCAACAATTGTTACATTGAACCTTCTAACAAAACAGACTTTTGGTTACAGACCAAATGACAAAAAAGGATATACTGACTGTCATATGTCAAAATGAAATACCAAACTTTTCTGAATAATAAATAATTATCAAAAGTTAATTTCATTTAAAAGAAAATTAGCTGATGGCAATTAGCTGATCGATAAAACTTTTATTTATAAACTTTTTAATTTATAATGAAAGCAAATCTTAGCATATTAACGAAAAATGTTTATTTAGAAAAATTAAAAAAAAAACTGTTTTCTTCACTGGCTAATTATTATTTCCTTTAAAAAAGTTTGTTACGTTGAAATTGGATACAAAAAGCACTGTCCCCCACAAATTTCAACGATCTGGATCCGACCCGTAGGAAACACAAAATGGAGGCTGACAAACACCAAAACTGGGTCTCAGGTTTTCCTGAATGATAACTATATGATTCTTCAAAACTCGACTGCCTAATTTTCACTCAAAACCATAGAGGCCCAGTTAGCCCTCAGAAATGCTGTTATTAGATCCCTTGACATGAAATACACCAACAAACTGGTGATTATCTCACTTCACAAAGTGTGCCACATAGCATTTGAGATTAAATCACATTCTTCTAACCAAAACTCATAAAATTAAATGAAAACTTGCCGTTTTTTTAAACTCTCTGCCATGTTTCACCGTTCAGACCGAAATTTGTTCTCTTAGAATGCTACACTAACGAATTTCCGATAACAAAAAAATCCGGACTCAAACAATGAAGTCGACTGCTCTGACAACCGGATCACTAAGTAGTGACATCATCCTCCCAAAATAATTCTCTTGTCAGCATCTTCTTCTTCTTCTACGGCACTACACTTCCCAGTGCTCGTTTTGGTAGCCTATCCTCTCCCATTCGTATCACATGTCCGGCCCATTGCAATCTTTGTATTCTAATGAAGTCTGACAGGGGTGTTTCCTTATACAGTTGATAGAGCTCGTTGTTAGATAGAGCTCTTGTCAGCATACAGATTCATATTTATTTTCAGCGAAAATATCTAGGCGGAACCATAATCAATCAAAAGAGCAATTATAATCATTTTAAACAGACTTGAAAATGTTTACATTACCAATCTTAGAGACACAAAAAGATTAAGAATCTTTGTCGGTGTTTTATTATATACGGGGTGAATAGAAAATGCTACAGATGTCGAAAAAATCGGGTCACATCCACACAAATCAGTCAATCACACAAATAATAATAGACAGTAAGATAGGACAGATATCTGCAATGTTAACCAACTCTAACCTTGCGCAGGATTGAGAAAAATTCGTCAAAATGATTCGCCAACGTCAGAGAGACCGGAAAGAAAATTGGACAATTATAAATCGTAAAAAAGATAATTTCTTTTAATTTTTGTGGTCCATGTATCTTGTGAGAGATCTGTCTCTACCTCTTTTAACTTTCACTTTTTTCGATACAATAAACTTCTCCCGACAATCTCTTAATCAAAAAAATGGCCAAAAAAACTTATTATTTTTTCTGTTTCTTGAGTTCGTTCTTAACATTTTCTTGATGTTTAGTTATCTTAGTAATAACTCATTGTGTTCTTCGGTCATCTACGTGATTATATACATTCATATTCAGCAGAATGCAGTAGCTCGAATGCATTTAGGAACATTTTATCCTTTGAGAGGATAGCGTTTTTTGTGTTTGCTGCTGTCTGTATTTCTTAAGTACACCTCCCGAAATTAGTTATCAAGAACCCTAGCTGAATAAATTGTCATAATATTTGTAATTCTATGTAATAATTAAAATCCTTTTTAGTTTAAAAGAATATGACGATATATGGTTGGATCTAGGAACTCTGTCGCAACGGTACCACAAAGTGCTGATACCTTCTCATTGTGTATACAGTTCTGGAGCTAGCCATGCTATTTATGAGCACGTTTTTGCAAATAGAAGGATGTTAAAACAATCTCCGATCATTTATTTGAAGGCAGTTAAGAATGAGGTGGAAATAAAATGGATGCACTATACTAGTATTCGAGATGCTGCTGCGGTGTGTGATTGTTTTGCATATATAAATAAAAAGGTAAGTAATATTAATCATACTGATAAAAGCTAGGCAGGCGACACATATCAGTGACATAAATAAAATAAAATCAAAAACTGAAGAGGTAAAACACAAATGACAAACAGACATTAAACACTAGAAAAAAGACATTAAACACTAGATTTAAATTAAAAAATCGTTAAGGGTTAAATCAATAATCTTAAGTTTTGGAAACCAAACTAATATTGTACTAATTCACAAACAAATGAAATTCCTATAGTTGTCTATATACCATGAATATAAATCATAAAAACATTTAATTAAAATATCCTTCATGAGGTATATATATTATAAAAAAAACCCTTTCGGGTTACATTACAGAACGTTTTCGGACTAATAAGTTTATCATCAGTGCAGTTACCAGGTACATATGAGTGAAGCCACTAAATATGTAGGTAAACAATCTTTAAATTATCTTAACTTTGTTAATTATTACATCTTCTTCTTCTTCAGCGTGTATTCGTCCACTCCGTGTTTGACTCCGCTTTGTGTTAGTTTTCCATTTATCTTTGTCTGTATTCGATTTTGGAGATGGATGTTTTCGATGGTTTGTATAATATTGATTGGTATGTTTCTTTTATACAGTAGGTGTAAGACGTCTTCGACTTGGATGCGATCGAAAGCCTTTGTCAGGTCTATAAAACATAGATATGCTGGTTTATTGTCCTCGATGGCTTTTCTGTGATTAGTCTTAGTACAAATACGGCGTCTACACAGAATATTTCGGATTTGAATCCTATTCCATGGAATGACCTGAATCCATTGATTGACCTGAATTCCATTGACCTGAATCCATTGATTTCTACTCTTTTCAATTCTCATCCACTGCTTGATCGCGGATAGTTTGATATCATCTACCCACCTCTTCTGTGGTCTGCCTACTCCTCGCCTGCATGCACGACCCAATGCCATTTTATTGCCCATTACTCAATTATTATATTAAATGATGTTAAATAAACATCATTTAATGATAAATTTGAAAGTTGATAAATTTAAATGATGTTTTCAACTGATTTATTTCATGGCAACGCAAGACTCCCAGGAATTGCTAACCCGAGGTAAGGTGTCTCTATGACATACATAGAGTGTCTAAGGAGGGTTAGTAACCCCTGGAAGTCTTGTGTTTTTAAAAAATAAATCTGTTTAAAACAAGATTATTTAAAATTTCACTAGGAAACTAAGTTCCTGTAGCTGGCTGTATACCATATATCACAAAAAATTGTTTAAAATCCTTTATAAAAGGTATATAAAAAATGCCCCAAACGGGCTATCACAAACACATTGCAAAACGTTTTCGGAGTGATAAATCGATCATCAGTGCAATCCTGAAAGTATGTAACGACTTTAATTAAAAAGAACGTTAAATTAAAATGTTGACAAAGGTTAGAGCAAAATGTGGTTAATACCTACTTACGGTTGTACATGCTAGTAGCCACCAAAATATATGGGTCAAAACTCTTTAAATGTTTTAAATTTGTAGTTGTTTTACATTATTAATAGTTATAATTTGTGATGTTTAAGTTACCGTTGGATAGGTAACATGGCGGCGTATGACTCTACATAAGTAAAATGGTCCTGAGACGAAGTGTCTACGAGGACCTGTTGATAACAACTGATCAAAATGACATTGTTGACATGTTAGGAGGGATGTTGTGTCAGAGCAGTCAGTGTAACTTACGGTAGTTGTCTAAAAATGACAGATGTCAGACCTATTTAAAATTGAAAAAAGTTAAAATTATAATAATGTAACAGTATCAACCATCAATATTGTAATCTGTATTGTAAATTAATTAAATAGCTATATTTGAAACATTGAAAATTGGTTTTTTAAAAATTAATGTGGGTCAACTGGAATTTATGAAATTTTGTAGGATTGATAGGCAACCAACTATACATGTGTAAGGATCTATTTATTTTAAGCTAAAGATTTTGTCAAAAGGCCCTGTATGTTGTGCACCACAACCAAATGTCCAAATGTCTCACAACATACAGGGCCTTTTGACAAAATCTTTAGCTTAAAATAAATAGATCCTTACACATGTATAGTTGGTTGCCTATCAATCCTACAAAATTTCATAAATTCCAGTTGACCCACATTAATTTTTAAAAAACCAATTTTCAATGTTTCAAATATAGCTATTTGATTAATTTACAATACAGATTACAATATTGATGGTTGATACTGTTACATTATTATAATTTTAACTTTTTTCAATTTTAAATAGGTCTGACATCTGTCATTTTTAGACAACTACCGTAAGTTACACTGACTGCTCTGACACAACATCCCTCCTAACATGTCAACAATGTCATTTTGGTCAGTTGTTATCAACAGGTCCTCGTAGACACGTCGTCTCAGGACCATTTTACTTATGTAGAGTCATACGCCGCCATGTTACCTATCCAACGGTAACTTAAACATCACAAATTATAACTATTAATAATGTAAAACAACTACAAATTTAAAACATTTAAAGGGTTTTGACCCATATATTTTGGTGGCTACTAGCATGTACAACCGTAAGTAGGTATTAACCACATTTTGCTCTAACCTTTGTCAACATTTTAATTTAACGTTCTTTTTAATTAAAGTGGTTATATACTTTCAGGATTGCACTGATGATGGATTTATCAATCCGAAAACGTTTTGCAATGTGTTTGTGATAGCCCGTTTGGGGCATTTTTTATATACCTTTTATAAAGGATTTTAAACATTTTTTTTAAGATTATTTAAATTTATCGACACAAATGTAATCATTAACAAAGTTAACATCATTTAAAGGGGTTTTGTCCACATATTTAGTAGCTTCACTCACGTATATCTGGTAACTTCAGTTATGATGAATATTTTTAGAATATAATTTATATACCTTCTATAAAGAATTTTTAAATAAAAGGTTTAATTGTACTAATTGTTTTATTTTAAATATACAAGCTCCTCTGTACAATCTAATGTAAATCCACCGCTCGAATAATCAACAGCATGCTAGCCAACCGAACAATTCAAATAGTCATGGAAACCGACATGTGATACGCAGTAACGACAATCGCCTTATAAACAATGTGTTCTGGAAAAGGCCAGATGGAAGAAGGTCTATAGGGAGGCCTAGAAAAAGGTAAAAAGATGCAGTCAAAGAAGATCTAGAAAAAATAGGAGTGCGACAATGGGAATTACTGGTACAGTACATACACAAAGAGTTGTAGCGCCATTGATGATGATGATGATGATGATGGGAACCGACATCAATACTCCAAGAAAACTGAGAAATGGAGTGCCTCAGGGATCTGTCTTAGCTCCTGTCCTCTTTAGCCTGTACGTCGCTGATATACCAGAAACAAGGTCAAGTAAGTTTGGTTACGCCGATGACTGAGTTCTTGCAACAAGGTGTAAGTCATTTGAAGAAACAGAAGAAATCCTCACGGTGGACTTGCATACAGTGGGAAAGTATTTCCGTAAATGGAATCTCCAACCAAACGCTACCAAAACAGAGATTTCCAGTCTCCTCCTAAATAACAAGCTTGCAGAAAGAACACTCAACATCAAATTCGAAAACACCACACTCGCCCACAATAAAACACGAAAGTGTCTTGGAGTGAATCTTAACACATCCCTATCTTTTAAGGAACATCTGTCAAAAACAGCGGAAAAACTTAAATCCAGAAACAACATCATCCAGAAGCTGTGCGGTACAATATGGGGAGCATGGGCTTCCACCTTGCGATCATCTACCTTGGGCCTTGTTTTTTCAACCGCGGAATAGTTCTCTTCAGCCTGGTTTAATAGCCCACATATTTACAAACTAGATGCCCAATTGAACAACAACGAAGCAACAATGAGAATGATAGCTGACGTTATCAAATCCACCCCTATGCAAAAGGCTCCCAGTACTGAGCCACATTCCACCACCCAGACTACGGCGTATACACTCCCTCACTAGTGAGTACCAAAAGATACTTAGTAACGAGACCCTGCCAATTCATCAAGATATAAATGCTGCTAACAGTAACCGTTTATGCTCCAGACGAACGAAAATAACAACAGCACAGATTGCAGTGGAAAATGAGTTCAACTTAACGATCACTTGGACTCGAGAATGGATGGAACAACAAAATAGCAGCTTACCCTGCATCACAAAAAAATCATCAGGTTTTGACTTACCATGCAACACATGGACTATGTTGAACTCAATCAGACTCAAATACGGCAGATGCGGTTACATGATGCACAAATGGGATAAACGACCATCCCCACTCTGTGACTGCCGGCAACCACAAACCATATGTCACATCACAAAACAGTGTCCCACAAGATTTTCTAATGGCGATTTAAGAGTCAATAAACTATATAAATAGTTATATGTTCGTTTGTAAAAAATATGTATCATGTTTTATACAAAATATATGTAAATTTAAATGTAAATGTGTCAAGTAACATACGATAAATAAAAAAATATTTTAGATATTAATCATATTTCAAACTTTTTAGATGGAAAGAGACGAAAAAATTATGGAAAGCGATCTGGTTCATTATCTAAATGAATACCGGTACGAACAAAATCATAGTTTGGGAAATAGTTTTAGAACAAGAGTAGCCTTTGCGTCTAATGGAGCATTTCCAAGTTATGAAACTACAGACAATACCAACATCCAGATATTTAAAAACAGTACGGTTGTTTTGGATTCCGGAGGCCAGTACTACGGTAATAAAAACATACAATAATACATTATTCTATTACTTGAACTAAACACTGAATCATTTTATACAAAATGTTTTCTACATCCAGGAAAAAGGTAATCTATGTTTTCTGTCAGAATATAAATAGAAAAACTACTTTCGATATCAACTACTGTGTCGGATAGGAGTATATGTTAGGTTAGCTACGAGGTATTGGTCCCCTTTGGTTTCTTTGGAAAATTTTCTCCGGAAAACATTTTCCACTTGAAAAACTGTGGAAAATTCTATATTTTCGTCAATGGTATTATTTGATTTTCTTAAAATTTGCTCCAATTGTGTCATTATCGTTTTCACCAGAAGAAATGTTTCCAGTAAAGCAACCTTTTCTGAAAGCGGACTTTGCTGTTTTTATAATTTATTGAGTGTTTCAGGTCAAAAAGCATAATTTGTTTTCAGAAAAAAGATTTGTTGTTAACAATTTCATTTTTAAATGTTCGTTGAGCAGAAGAATTTTCTAGATTTTTGCATCAGAAAATTCAAAAATTATAATGCAACATTATTTTAATTATTAATTTATAGTTATTAATTATAGTTAACGTTGTCGGGCGGGTATAGCTGAAAAACTTTGCGAGGTGATCAGCAAAAGATTCTGCTTTTTCCCTGCTACTCTTAGCTCAGCGTTCTTTATAATTGGATAGGAGGGTTGAAGAAGACGAGTTAACCTCCGTGTTGCTTTCCTCTGTGACTTCTATTGCTGATAAATGTTTTGAGGTATATATATTATTGTGATATTTAAAGTCTTGGTGCGCCAAGCAGTTAATTAGCTAATTAATTAATTAATTAATTAAAATGATTTAAATGATATGATTATGACTCTATCACACTTTTTAATTCTCTTATCTCAGGGTTAAATTCGTGCTTCAATATCTATGCTATTACATGTGAAAGGTAAGGTCCAAAGAATACCGGAATAATAAAAAACACATATGATATAACACTATATATTGAAATAAAAATAATGAAATAATTCACACTCAAATGTTTTCAATAAATAAAATCTCATATATTGTTTCTCAAAATTTTGTTCTACGTACGTGAACCTTCAAAATTAATGGTACAAACAATATTAATTGAAATCTCAAAATCCCAAATTATTCTAACTCTCCTAATCAAAATATTTATATCCTTTCTAAATTAAGTGTAAAAATTGTGTTATCAATAAAAGAAAAAACTGCAGAAAACAAAAATATCTCTCTCTGATGATGAGTGGTCCAAATCCTTGTTCCTTGTAGATTATATTATCTACTCTCAGGCGCTCCCTAGGTAATCAGCAATCTTACAACAAATTGTTGCAAGTATATCGTCCTTAATGATCTCCTTCAAAAGCACGAATTATTCAAATTATGATAGCCTTTCTCCTCTCGATAAACTGAATCTCTCGTTGGCCAGAGTGAAAAATGACTCTTGGAATATCTTCTCTTTACGATAAACTGAATCTCTCGTTGGCCTGAACAGTGACTCTTGGGATATAAGTAGAAAAATATGACTTACAATATTTTGCTGCTTCAGCTTCTGTTAGATACACTAACTCCACAAACACTCACTAACATTCAACACTACTGCTTGCTACCTCTCGGGAACCGCCAGAGAACAATCACTGTTCGTCTTCTAGACTTGGAAAACCAACTGACTATCTTTTCTCACTCCGAAATCTAGCTAAACTTTCATTCCTACATACCTATCCCACCTTTTTCAATCTCCGCCAATCAAAACTCGTCACAATTCCCCCATTTTTTCATTTCGATAACAAACAAATTTTTACCTATAATTATAAAATTTCCTAAAACTTATTTACAAATAATATTTTTCTACAATTCTTAAAAACTAACAAAAACCTCTTTCTAAAATCTATTCTATTATCCTTAATCACTGAATTAATGTATTTGGAAAAACCCGGTTCAATTGTCTTTGGATTTCACTTAAAATTATGCGGGTCACTCAAGTATAGTATAACAAAGAAAATAATTTATGCATAGCTTACATTTTGTTTAATACAGGTAATCCAAAAATTTAAAAAACTTTCCTTCTTCGAAATGTTTGTTGGTTATTATCCTACTTATCTGAATTATTTTAATGTTTTTGAACTTTGAAATATTTTAATCAAACCAATATTTTTCTCGATTTTACATATCATAACAAATCCCCGCCATTTGATCTGCCGAAAACTCTTTGTTAAATTTTAAAAATGACAAAAGTTTTCTAGGATCAAATTATTTCACTATGTTATTAAAATCTACTTATGATACTGATAAATGTCGTGAATGTTAAAATATCCCGTATATTGCCTGTCTTTATACGGGATTGGATATATTTTCGTTTTAAATTTTTCCAAGTATTTTCCCTTAAAAGAAAATTCATAATTTTTAGCCACTCGGTTTACTTCATTAACAAGATCTCCATGGTTTCCAAACATCTTCTCTATTTTCTTTCCCATGTTTTCTCCACAATTTATTTTTCTTTCATCCTCCTTTTGTTCACATGTGTTCACTGTCCATAATATTTCTTCACAAAATTCTGGATTCTCGTCCATCAGTGCCATTTTTTCTTCTGTTTTCTTTTTATCCTCTAATTCCCTTTGATATTCCGAGCACCATGTTTCTATTCCTTTCATTTCTCTGATGATACCTTCTTTTTCTTCCTGCTTCCATTCTGTTTTATCGTCGGTTGCCCACAATTCTTCTGTACCTTCTATTTCCTGTTTTTCTCTTGTCTCCATCTTATTTTCCTGCTTTCTTTTCGAACTCTTCTTCTTTTTCTTCCTTCTCTTTTTCTCTTCTGTTAGATTTTGTTCTTGTACTTTCGGTTTATCCTCCACAGTCATATCGATTTCTTTGCGTTTTTCCTGTGCATTGATCCTTCCAGAATTTGTTTTCCTATCTGTTTACTTTTCTTCTTCTGTGTTGTCTGGTTCTGCTGTGATTTCCAGTTTATTTTCCAAAAAATTTATGGTGATATGTTTTTTCCTCAATTCATCAATTCCCGCTATCATATCATGATTTAAATCTTCAATCACCACACATTTCATAATATGGAATTTGTCTCCCACTCTGATCCGTACTCCCAAACCTTCGTTTACTGTCGTCAAATTTTTATTGTTTGCACCCACTAAATCAACCCTAGGAAAATATATATATATATATATATATATATATATATATATATATATATATATATATATATATATATATATATATCAATATACCATTATTGTTATACAATTTAGCTGAGTTTTTAAACGTGTAGTAAAGAAACTAAAGGATATCAGAACTTATATACTGATATCCTAGTCTGATATCCTTAGTTTCTTAAGGGCTTGATGAGGCTAAGACCCTTGATCATTAGACCCTTTTCCCTAACATTTATGAATGTGTATCCCACCAGCAACTTTTCATTATAATCGTTAATATTGGCGAATTAATTTAGTGTCTGCGGTCATATAAACCCAAACAAACAACAACTATGATAGACCCTATGACTGGTGAATAGTATAACTATGATTGGTGAGAGTTCTAAATTGTTTATAACTCGAAAACGATCAAGTTTACAGAAAAATTACAGGAGATCTATTTTGTTCAAAATGATCCAACAAACAACAACTATGATCGTAACTATGATTGGTATAGTAACTATGATTGGTGAGAGTTCAAAACAATATTGTTGTTCTTGAAGTTGGGATGGAATTCCCTTATGATATACAAATTTGCAATACTGTTTTTATCGGATGACCACTATATGGGATCTGATGATTTGTTTCTCAGATTGTTGCTTTTCATTGCCTGTCTAAGGTCTTTTGCCGAGTGAGTTGAAAAATCTTGCAACAACAATTTTATTCTTAACGTTAAATAATTTTCAGGGGGTACTACTGAGGTCACCCGGACGCTTCATTTTGGTGAACCAACTGACCAAATGCAGGAAGCTTATACAAGGGTACTCATCGGTCTTATGCAACTATCAACGCTTACTTTTCCAAGCAATATGAAGATGGCAGTAGCAGACGCCATGGCTCGAGCTTCACTTTGGGAAGCTGGTTTGGACTATCTCCATGAGACTGGACATGGTATTGGATCATTTTTGGGAGTTCATGAATGTAAGTATAATAAAATATATTGTTATATACTGTTGCAGATATCTTATTTACAGCACAAACATATAAAACAGTTGTGCTGTAGTGAAATATGCAACCACAACATTACGCAGATATCCTGCGTGCGGAAGAAGACCGTTACAACTCAAAAAGTATACATGTTAGTTAGTTGCATTCATACAGTCCTCGAAGACATACCGTCTCAGGACTAGCAACTTCAACGTGGAGTCATATGTCGCCATGTTACCTAATCCATCGGTAACTCTATAATCTTAAATCATCATAACACAATTTTAAAACTAAATGTAATTAAACATCTGTTATCGGGTTTTTACCCACATATTTAATCTTGGTGGCTACATTCATGTACTCCTAGACACTGATGATGGAACATGGTTTCCGAAAACGTTTTGTCTTTTTAACTTAGCCCGTTTGGGTCTAAAATATATACCTATTACAAAGGATTTTTAATTAAAAAAATAAAATATTATGAAGTCCTAGATGAAACTATTTCTCAAATAGGTCAAACAAGGGAAACTGTTATACTAGGTGACCTCAATGCAAGAACTAGTAGAAGAATAAACGATAAAACAATAGGACCATATAGAGAAAACACTACAAACGACAATGGCAATAACTTAATCTAAATGACTTATTCAATTGGGTCATTTTTTGTCAAAAGAAATTTAACGTCAGATAGTTGGTGTAAATGTTCGGCGATATTTAGATATTTAGATATAGAGATATTTCCTGGACGATAAATTGGTAGACAAGGTAGAATTGAATGGCCTCCACGTTCACCCGATCTCAATCCTAAAGATTATTTTTATTAGAGATACTTGAAAAATTCAGTTTACAAAACTTAACCAGCAAGTCTTGCATAGCTAAGGCAATGAATTATCGATGAATCTCGAATAATATCTAGACAATCATGGAGAAATGTGGTAGACGCATTCTACCATCGATTAGAGTGCTGTCAACTCACAAATGGACCACATTTTGAACACTTAATAACGTAACTATTATGTTAAAAAATATTTTAAACTATTAATTGTTACGTTTTAATGTATTTGAAAATAGTTAGTATTAAAAAATGTATTGAAACAATTTAGGCGTTGCCAGACTTCTCTTTTATGTATTTAAGACCTTCCATACTATATAAAATTATAAGTGTTACATATGGTTGAACTTGTATCGAATAGGAGATTCCAATAATAACTGAATATACAGGGTGATGTATTTGAAAAACCAAAGTTACTAGTAATATAAGAGAAACTGAAAATCTGGCAACATTGCAAATACCAAATATAAAATCTCCGTATTCCAAAATAGGCGTATCTCAAATTTTGTATAATTATGTCTGGTAATTTACGAGATAATTAGCCGTTTCCAGACTTTTGGGCCACTCTGTATACTGTTTTACACTTTGTTCTGTGCGTTGGTCTTTGAATAGCCTGATGTCATATTTTGGGTTGACACTACACTACTGTTAAGACACAATGTATTTAAATGTGATATCATTCTTATAATATTGTAATATCTAGATTTGAAAAATTTGTTAAAGAATTTCTATACTTTTGTCCGATAGTGTATCCGAACAAAACCATGTCTGTGTTCTCTGACTTTATAATTATAAAGTATTTAAATATTATCCCTATCATTAATATCACTTTTTTTCTTTTTTACAGCACCAATTAAAGTACATTTTAATTCGGAAGTTAGCGCCCAACAAGTGTTTAAACCAGGATACTTTCTATCAAATGGTAACTAAAAAAAAAAATAAAACTTACTGGGTAAATTAAGTGTTCAATTTCTTTTTTAGCTCCCGGTTACTACAAAGAAGGTGTTTTTGGTGTCAGATTAGGAAATATACTGCAAGTTGTAGAAAAACCTTGGTTAAGGCATAGTACGCAATCATATTATGGCTTTAGGACGATAACTTACGTTCCTTTTGAACCTAATTTAATAAAACGTCACTTATTATCAATTCATCAGGTAAATATTAAAAAGCAATTCGATAGTAGAAAGTTTAAAGTATAGATAATTTATTACAAACTGTGTAAATTCAAGTATTACCTTTTTCTAAATTATTAACAATGATGTATTGTATTTCTAATGAAGTATTTTCTGAGATTTGCAGATGACATCGTCCTTATAGCCGATCGTATGGATGATGCAATAATAATGTTTCAAAAATTATATCACGCGTCCTTGAAGGTCGGACTAAAGATTGTAACGATATATTTTGCCTACCTCAGGGCAAGAACATAGGGGTAGAAGATTGGGGACAGAAACTACTGGGGGTAGAGATAGGGCAAACAAAATAATCGATACTGGTGCGTACGGCACTCAGGGGGTTGTTGGAGAGCTGGCTCGTGGATATGTTGAAATAAATGGGTCGGATTGGCGTATCTACAAAATGTAAACAAAGGGATACTTACATAAATCTCCTGGAATAATTATGAACAAGATATGGCAGACAAGATTACCTCTAGCTATTTCTATTAGGACGCCGCTTCGAAGAAAACTTCCTTCTGGAAAAAAGAAAATTTCTTCTTCCCTAAAATCAAGAATACATACAAGGGTTAGGAGACTTTTCTAAATAAAAATAATAATGGATCAGAGAAACCAATCAAATGTTTATTTTTGTCTCAAACAAACAGTTATCAAAAATACAGATTGCACAAGAAGCATACTATATAACATAATACAAAATTACTAAAAACTTACATGTTTATCTGTTTACAAAGGAGATTGCTACAAAATTTTTCGAAATGGTTCCTAGGTTATTTATTAATATGGCCAAAATAGAATATTATAATTAAGGATATTCTTGTTTATAAAAATATCGTAAAATTTAACATTATATATGAAATATATTGTCTATATAATAATCAAATTAAAATTGTTTTACAACAACGACAGATTAGAGCCAAAATGTCATATGTCAACACAACATTTTAAGACAGAATAAATTATGACATTTTTTTAGCCACGCCTCTAACATAATATAAAATTTTAATTATTATGAATTCTTTTAATTTTTAATGAAAGTAATTATTAAAAATAATGTCTATTTTACTTGGAAAAATTAATATATTGAATGTTACCTTATTTCACAAATTTTGCACTTAACTTTGAAACTTGCTACATCTCTGGGACTGAAACTAACCGGACAAATTCTCCACATGAACAAAGGAAACCATTTCCATACTCAGGAACGACGATCTAAGTCGTAAATCAGGTTTGGTGTAGGAGCAAGCTCACAAACAAAACGAAAGCTGGTAGGGACTCACTATATATTGCTTTTCAAAATTCCATTAGTTTCGGTGTACTGCACAAATCTTATGGTTGATACTCTGTTCTAAAGTGCCATTTTCGCAAAGAGTAAATCTAACCTTTCACTGGTTTTGAAATTAAAACATTACAAAAAAAAGTCGGTCGTGGATTCAAAACCCGCAAAACGTCTTCCTCGTTCCAATGATCTTGCTTGACTCTTATCTGCGTTACATTTTACAAATTCAACACCAAATAAATTCCCCTTGCGTCTCCTGGACCAGTTGTGCCTACAAACTTAAAATAAACAATCTCCCTCTTGACCTCGTTCTGAACACCGAACCGACAAAAAACATCTTGAAATATTTACTTTTAAAATAGTTAGAAATAACACGTATGAATTGGGGGATTTTGAATGTAAATAAATACAAAAAATATTCCTATAATAGCGTTAATACGTCTTAGTTTCCTAGTTTTAACCGGAATAATTTTCTACCTGACAATGTAACAGAGACAAAACATATATATTTTGAAACAAACTGAATACAAAACTTGATATTAAGAATATCAACTTAAAATGCCATAATATATTGATCGTTTTAAAATTTCTTTCAGGGGCGTACTACAAAATTTAAAACAGAATTTATATTATTATATAGATATTAAATATTAAAAAATTTAAAACGCTACAAGATTAATTAGAACAAGACGCAAATAATGACTAATCTGTTGCTAAATCAAAATATTGCTATTGTTGGAAAGGATATTGTGCAGACTACATCGTATAAGTATCTGGGACATGAAATTCGATTGGACAGAGATAACCAGACATGTGAGCTCCCACGACGCATAGGATTAGCCTGGGTAGCGTTTAGTAAATTAAATAATGTATTTATATGCCTCAAAAGTAAAATTTTTGACCAATGTGTGTTACCTGTACTCACTTATGAAGCGGAAACATTAACACTCACAAAAAAAGGTAGGTAATAAAATTCGCGGTGTTGGGTGTTTCTGAGAGATCGAATCCCAAACGAAGAAATACGTCGTAGAACAAAAACAACATACGCTATTGAAAAAATCGCGTCGTTAAAATGGAATTGGGCAGGACACGTCGCCAGATTATCAGATAACCGAAAGACATACCGTATTTTAGAGTGGAGACCAAAGACATGATCTCTCCGGATTAATGCAACACACAGTAATTCTTGCGCCGGTTTCTCGGAAGATCACTTCAAGCATGCTTCTGACAATCTTCCAATCTATATTATTTAGCGTATAGCCTATCTTGGGTAAGGCTAAATTCTTGATGTCATAATTGCAGACGATTTTCTTCAAATTAGTTAGAGCACGCCATATATCCTCGTAGATTGCCGTGTCTACGACTTCCTGGTTACCATATACAGCAAAGATCGAGGAACATCTTCTAATCTCAGTACTTTCCCAATTTTAGGTTGCTGATTTTCCCGGTCGGAAACGACCGAACTTCTTATTAAATACAGATCAGATTCCTTAAGTCATATCAAGATATTGGGCAACAAAGTGGGCTAGAAAGACGTAATGCTGAACACTAAAAAGATCCTGCTAAACTTCTGTCGTCACGCCGAATCTAGCACTCTTTCTCTCTGCGTAATTTGACATAAATTTATTAAAGCTTGGTCGCCGGTCATCTTTTATCTCATGTTGAAGGGTTCGGGCTTCTTTCTTCCGGACGTTGGGGATTACACCTACTTCATACCTTTCACTTTTGCATTGAGAATCGTATTAATCTTTCATTCTGTCACTCGCTAACTGGATGTGTTGTCGGGCAAGTTCATGAATGCTGTTCATTCTTAACTTCAGGCAGTCGACATAATCGTCGCTTGCAACATGTTCTTCGGAAGGTCTGCAGCCAAACTCTAGGTCGCAGGGCAAACGAACTTCACGACCTAACATCAGGCAGGTTGGAGTCTGGCCTGTAGTTTCATTCATGGCCGAGCGGTAGGCCATTAGGAATGAATGAATGTGCTGGTCCCAATCTCTTTGATGTTCTGATACAACTTTGGACAGGTGTTTACCCATCTTTCGGTTCATTCTCTCGACCATTCCCATCCCCATTCCATCTGATTGAGGATGCAGGGGTGTCGTTCTGGTCTTATTTACACCAATCAATTTACAAACGTTTTGGAAAAGGGTTAACTCGAAGTTTCGCCCTTAGTCGGAATGAATCTCCAAGGGAACACAAAATCAGCTGAAGAATTCTTTAATAAGTACCTCTGCAACGGTAGCAGCTTCTTAATGTGGTAACGCGTAAGCCTCAGTCCATTTCGTAAAATAATCCATAGCTACCATGATATATTTATTTCCATCATTCAGCTCTGGAAGTGGACCTACAATGTCGATTGCTACTCTTTCCATAGGACTAGCAACATTGTACTGTTTCATGGGTGCCCTCTTTTTACCAACTGGACCATGTTGCACACACCGGCACCATCTTCTTACATCATCTTTACAGTTCACCCAATAGAACCGGTATCGAACCTTTTGCAGAGTCTTCGTCATACCAAAGTATCCACCTGTTGCAGCGTCATGCAACTGACGCAATACTTCTGACACTTTACTTTTAGGTACAATCAACTGAAGCTTAGATTCTGTACCATCGTCGTTCTCAAAGTTTCTATACAGAAGATCATCTTTTAGCACTAGGCAATTCCATTGGCTCCAGTAACACTTTACTTCGGGACTACATGCACTAATAATGTCTTTTCACTTCGACGCATCCAATCCAATACTCTTTTTATACATGGATCATCTGCTTGAGCATCTTGTAGCTGTTGAGGCTGCCATTGAACATTAATAACGGTAGTTCGTCTCACGGGGCAAAGTCGTTCTTCTAATTCAAGGCAATGATTACGATTTGCACTCTATGGCCGTCTTGACTGATCATCAGCATTTAAATGATTTTTCCAGCCCAGTGTTCGATCTGTTCTAGCTTTCTGACTGTTGTATTATTTTCTTGCAATTTACGACGGATGTGACCTACGTGGTTACCATTCCAACATCTCGGTTCACGTCTCTTCGGCATCAAGTTATGAACTACTTTCCGTACGATTTCCTCCAGACGTTTGTCTTTTAGTACGTCGCTATCTTCAGAGGTTCGTACTCGATAGCTCAGTGAAACTCGACTAGCTGTCTCGTGTTCCAAGCCAATGGCGAGCGCTTCATCTAAAACTTTCGGTCTTGCTAGTCATAAAGCTTTCTGTAGTTCACTGTCTCTCAACCTATTGATGAAGGTATCTACAGCCCCTTGTTCCAGTATGTTGTCTTGCGCCTTTGGATAGGCCAACAACGCTATACGAGCAACATCTGCTTCAAATTCTTGCAAATTCTCACTTGCTCGTTGGATTCTACTTCTTATTTGTACTTTGTAGACTTGTTGTAGATAGGCATCTCCGTAACGTTTGTCTAGTCGAGTGAACAAGGTCTAATAACACTTTTCTTTACCCTTAGGAATAGATTTTAGGATATCCGCAGAATCACCTCGTAAAGCAGCAGTTAAGGAAACAGCTTTTTCTTGTTCTCTCCAATGATTGGCTGTCACAATAACTTCAAATTGTTTAAGGTATATGGACCAAGAAAACTTTCCATTAAATGGTGGCAATTTGAATCGCATATGATGTGTCGTTTCGTCTCTAGGTGATTCTTCTTTCACTACCGGATGTAAGGCTATTGTATTAACTGGT